GGGGGGGTATGAATGGTGCAGAAAGTCTGGATAGAGGTCCCCCCACTAGAACAGGGCAACCCCGGTAAAAACGATACCTAGTAGATTCATCCACACTTTTTCATAGCACTTATCATTTATGAAATCCGTTTCCATGAGATCTGGTGATGCTCCCTGGCTCAGATGCTTTTGAAAAATCTCCACATTCAGGGACAGTATACCTCTGAATACCAGTTTCTGGGAGGGTTTGCAAATAAGGGTTAAGTTACTGTTTTCATGCCCTTTTTATGGAGTCTCACGAAGCATCACTCTAACTACTGTTGAAAACAACATGCGGGTCTAGAATGAACTTTTGGTCATCTGTTCTAGGCTGTGTTGCTAATATGCAGCTTTATGGCCACCGTCTGTAGGGAGATACACAAACTAGTGTTGTGGAACTGGGGAAATGGGTGACGGCAAGGCTTGTGGTATGATCTAGAAGTCACACCAAGGTATATAAATGTATGAGAGAACTGAATTATTTATGCCTGTGTAGTCAGTTACTGACATCCCAATGTGCTTTGACCATCAAAAACCATGTTGCGGTGCACTCGGAAGCCCTATTCAATGCCTGATAAAGACTTCTTTAAAAATCTAGGCTAACCTGGAGCAGCTGATGTTTGAAGATAAGAGCAAAGCTCAGCGGCTGCAGACAGAGCTGGATGTCAGCGAACAAGTGCAGAGAGACTTTGTAAAGCTCTCTCAAACCCTTCAGGTAAGGGACCATGTCAGGGGACTTACCAAGATTGGCTTTAGCAGAGTGGGCCGCACGACGTCCGAGGCAGGGCTCTTGACCCACGGAGAATCACAGCATGTCATGGTAATGGACTGACGGGAGCGGCTTTGCTCTGCTGTTACCCCTGCCCTTGACTGCTGCAAGGCTAGGGTGGAAGCAGCCCTGGTGCTAAGGAAGCAGACACCAGAGTGAAATCAGAAGGTGGAAGCTGCCACCACACTTCGTGGAACTTTTGGCTCCAGGCAATGTTTGGGAATATTTGGCTGTGGTCTGATAACGAGTGGCAGTCGATAATAGTTGACCTGTGTGCCAGCTCTAGGCCAAATCACTGCTTTGTGCATGGCTTCCCTTTCCCCACTTGCAGGACTCTGCCGGCCACCGCCCAACACACGGTTCTCTCCTCTGCATCCGGCCTCTTGCTCTCGCCACCAGTCAATTCCCCTGGTTTGCCTTTTGCCTTCACAACAGGCACAGTCTGGAGGTCCGCTTTGGTCCGCTTTGAAATTATGGTCCATTCGATGTCCCCAAGTGGCCTTTAAGAGCTTGGGGAAGGTGGGGTTCGGAGAAGCAGGGCAGGCAGAAGCTCTGCAGGTTCCTCCACTAGCATCTCAAAGGGTTAAAAACATCCTGCTTGAAGCATCACTTGAGATGTAAGATGGCAGCCCTGGGGCCTTGGGTAAAAACATCCTGTGGGTTATCTAGGTTTCTCTGAAAGCCATAGCCCATTCCCAGGGCTTGTGAATGTAGTTCCGAAAACCCAGAATCTGGTTGGGCGCATGAAGGCTCACACTCACTCCCCTTTCTTGTTGGCTTGTCGTCATTCAGGTCCAGTTGGAACGGATCCGGCAGGCAGATTCCCTGGAGAGAATCCGAGCGATCCTCAACGACACAAAACTGACAGACATTAATCAACTTCCCGAAACATGACACCATCAGGAGCGGGCTCTAAGGCTGCATTTTTTGGTGTGTGTTTTTTTTTAAAAAAAAACAACCCTTCATCTTTATAGCAAAACATTAATTATTATTTAACTCTAACCGAAAGAGTGGAAGGGGACATGGGGGGAGGCGGTGGCCCAGGCTTTGTTTCCGGAAGGGAGAAGGTTTAGGGTGGGAGCGAGAAATTGTCAGAGAGAGAGAGAGAGAGAGAGATGTGCAGGACACCGGAGGGTATCAGACAAGTCTGACCTCACTCAGAGCGAAGTGATTGCCACAGCTTTCCCCCTTTCCTGAACCTAACACACTTCTCTCTCCTCTTCTTCCCCCGGCCAATAAAGGAAACTATCACTGTTATTTGGAAGCAGCTGGCAGAGGCCGTGCTTCTCTGTCCCCTTAAAATGTTTTCGAGTGAAGCTGTTGAAGTCTCCTCTCCATCCCAACTCATCCCCCCGCCCCACTGACTGGTCAGTCACACTGTATTTAGCTAGATGGCAAACAAGGAGAACGGGGGTATACTGTGCTGTATGAATATTTTATATTAAAATATGAATTTATTTGCAGGACACTGGATCTAGGTTGGGTTCTCTAGCTCAGCGCTTGTTTTGTACCTGGCGCATAGTTGTGGTTGGTGGTTTGGAAGAGCTCAGTGGCCCTTGGAAATAGAATGGAGAAGGGTGCAAGTTACTGATAACGGAATCCATAAAGAGAAACCAGCATCGGATCTGAGGAATGTCTTCTTAAGAAGACCTTTGGGGGGGGGGGGGTTAAAACAGGAAATGCACACTTCAAGCAAAACCAAACCACAGACCCATTTTCAACAAGCGGCACTTTCAGCCAGCGACTCCTGTCCTAGCTGAGCTAAGCTCAGCTCTCTGGCCCTTTGCCCAAAGCAAGCTCCGCTTTCTAGTCATGCCTGGGGTTGCATGTAAAGTGTTCCCATTCACCCCAGCCCCTATGGTAGGTTCTTGAGCCCACAGTCCTCTGTTCCAGTGAAAGCCGGTGACGCTATAGGAATTTTTAAAATGAGACTTGAGTGAAAGAAAGGGCGGGTGGAGCCTTGGTGTGTGACCCCCGTGCCTGTTGCATTCCTATCATTATTTCAGAACTAGCGGAACAGCAGCCATGCATGGCTGCTGGTGTTTTTACAAGGAGTGGGATGTGGCTGTCAAAACACTGCTCTCTATGTTGCCCTCTCCGTTCAGTTTCCCTGCCAACCCAAAACCCAGCCTTGCATCCTTCAGACTGATTTCCCGAAGGCTGAGTCATGTGGAAGGGGGGCCTCCCCTGTCAATCATGTTGAGGATCTTTGGATCCCTGCCCAAGCAACTGTTGAGCTAAATTCCACTTTGTATGTCTTATTCATGTAAACAGGAGGAACCCTCTTTGCATAGTTTTGTTTTGCACAGGGGCTTCGATCTAGCTGGATCTTCTCAGGCCAGATATCTTTGGCTTTTCAGCAGCAGTGTTTCTCTAGGTGGCCCTTTTTTTTTTGCAACAACCTAGTATAATCCCCATAATTGCACGTAGTCACTACAGAATGAATTAGGATCAGGTTGCTGGAATCCACCCTCTTTTTATAGCTGCTAGTGGAGGGGGGAGTATAGCAGTAGCTATAAAAAGAAAATAACAAGGTCAGGAAATCTGTTAGTTGTGAAGAACACTTGGGTATTTTGCCCACATTAAGGATTGGAAAACAGTTAACTTGCTCTAACGCACTGCTTCAACAAGTTTCTTTAGAACCCTCAATAACTGGGGTGTTTTTCCCCCTAGTGAATTTCCAGTTGTTGAACATGTTGGAAGCCAGCTTCTGTCCCTACCACCATCCTCCTTTTGACACCTCAGCACTGCTAAATCGTTAAATTTATGGATCAGCAAAGGGTGGGGGTAGAAACTCCCATGCCCCTCTCTTGTGAAGCGCCAGCTTTAACCAGTTGGGGCTAAAACCTAACTTGCTTAAGTCTGGTTAGTAGGGAACTGGCCATACAGAATAGCATCAGGATAGATTACCGCTTATGAATACAGGAATGACTACTGTGGCATGAGGGACTCGTTACTGCTTAGTACCTAAATTCTTGTCTATTCTAACCTGAGGCCCAAGATTGAGAGGGGAAATAGAGCAGCAAAGCGAAACTGAAAAGCGTTTGGGGTCTACACTCTGGCAACAGAGCCTGACAACCTAACAAATGCAGGAGTCTAGACTATGGAAGACACGCAGGCTGAAGAACATTCACAGCTATTCCAAAGGGGAAATGTTCTGTTTTAACTATGGCATCATGATTATCCTCAAAGTGAAACATGGACTTAATTTAATTATGGACCTGAGTCACACTTCATTAAAAAGCTTTTTTTTGGAAGGGGGGGAAAAGTGGGGGAGGAGGTGCCCCACTCACCTTAGAAGTTCTTAGCTTTCTACCAGTGTTTTTAAAAAGGCTTAATTTGTACCATCCAGCTTTACTGCTCCAGCACTGACTGTAACTACCACAACTTAGGATAAAAACACAGCAACCTTTCCTGGCCATGGGCCCGTGTGCACAATGTAGGGGAGGGGAAAGCCTGCAAGTTTTAACTCTGTTCTGTATACTTGTACAGCCAATATTTGCAAAAAAATCTTACAGCATGTCTGTGACCTTGTTATTGCTAACGGTTAACTGTACCCCCCCCCCCTTTTACTTCAGTGGCATAAAACCGTGGTCTGCCTGTATCTTCTTTCAAGAGGAGAAAGGAAATTCACCTATAAATATTAGTCCCTTTAGGGTTTTTGTTTGGGGGTTTTTCCTCCCCCAAAATAATAAAAATCAGCCTGTTACAGTCCAAACTGAACTGTTTGGAACCAATTCTGCATTCCAATGAAAGAAGCCGCTGGTGCCCTGTGAAATTGTGGATGTAGAACTCTCCTGTCTACTGAATTCGAAAATGTAACCATTCGTTAACTGTATTGGAGGTGTATCCTTAAGAAAGTGTTCCAAATTAAAGGAGGAATAAGCTAATGACAAGTATGCATCCTCTCCTTAATGTTCTGCATTTTTATACTGTAGGAGACTTGCATGTTTCTGTAGGGATCACAGATGGGAGGGACAGATTTCACATAGAGGTGTCTCAGATCTTGTCTGCCCGATCAGTTGTGCTATGTTAACACTCCAGCTGCATCTTCTTTGATGCATTTGGAAGTGGGGGTCTGTGTGATGACTGAGCAATGCTCAAGAATTTCTCCCTCATATCAAGTGAACAGTGGCAACAGCTACTATCTCTCATGGCCATAGTTCACACAGGAAGAGAAACCTTTGGGATGGAAGGGCCCAGGTACCTGCATATTGGCTTTAGAACCAGGCACACCCCCTTGCTTTTCAGAGTAATGATGCTTTAGCAGAGGCCTAAATCAGCAACAGGGAGAAGATGAGGGCTGGGCCAGGCCGGCACAAGGCCCAAATCAAAACAGGGTTATATAGAAGAAAAAGAGAAGAGATTGGATTTATACCCTGCCCTTCACTACCCGAAGGAGTCTCAGAGCGGCTTACAAACTCCTTTCCCTTCCCCCCTCCCCACCACAGACACCCTGTGAGGTAGGTGGGGCTGAGAGAACTCTGACAGGAACGGCTGTTTTTTTCAAGAACAGCTGTGCCAGAACTATGGCTTGCCCAAGGTCATCCAGCAGGTGCAAGTGGAGGAATGGGGAATCAAACCCGGTTCTCCCAGATTAGAGTCCATGCACCAAACCACTACACAGAGCAAGGCAAATAATCCACAGATAAATTATACCAAAACTGTATCCATCTCCTCCCGCTCTGCTGCCTGCACAGAAAGCGCAGTGCCTCGTCCTCCTGAACTGTCCAAAGCACTTATCAAAAACTGTTTATTCAACGTGGTTTTTTTACAAAACATCTCTCAACATGTGAGGCAGTAAGACCACTTATAAATAAGAAAAGGTAGCTTCTTTGCCTTAGTAACCCTTCAGCAAATGGCTAGAAGTTGACGTGGTTTCGGATGTCGTTGATCTGTTTCACCATCTCCCGTATGTGTTCTCCCCTGCAAAACAGAAGCAGTGTTGGGCAAACATGGCAAGAAAATCTTTTTCCCCCCTGCCTGGGAATATTGGAAGCTTTGCCTCCCAACCCAGATATGGACAACATAAGCTTTCTGTTGGAAATAAAGGGGAGAGCAACCCAATTCTTTCTGCTGCTTTCGCTCTCTGCTCGGCCCACCTGGTACAACCTGCATACAGCAACATCACTCAAAGGTAGTGCCAGCGACTGCTGCTTAGGGAAGATGCACCAGGCAGTTTACAATCCACAAAGTATTCCAAAGCTCTGGGAGAAATTTGGCTCTGTTAACTTACTCCTCTTTCAAAACGGCCTGGATGCATTTCCGCTGGTAGGTACTGAGGCTAATGCTGGGCTTCTTTGGGCTGGTTCCCTTCTCCATTTTCCTCTGCTGATAATCCTTCTTCATCTTAACCTAGAAAGGAAGCCGCAGGCACAAGAGCCAGATCTCCTCAGGACTAGAACATGAGTTCAGGGCCACACTTTCCCTGCCCACAGGCCTCGTCTTCAAGGATATTCGCACTCACCTGCTTGATAGCGTTCCCTAAATGGCGTAGCTGCTCCTGGATCGTCTGCAGTTCTTTCTTCATATCCTTCTCACTGTCGGACAGCACGGGCAGCTGAGAGTGGATGCTGCGGAGCACTTTCTTCATCCTGGGGCCATAAAGGGAGGGATGTGTGTGTAAGACTGTGCTATGAAACCAGCGTTTGCCAACCGTGTAGCCCAACATTTAGAAGCACAACTTGCATTCAGCCGGCAGACAAAAAAAGCAACAGCAGCAGTCTTAGTTCTGGCTGCTCTCCATCCTGAACCCTCTTTCTCTATTAGACCAAGCAGGACGGAGCTCGACTTAATGACCTCCCTTCAAAGTAAACCAAACCTCCTGCGGTGTTGCTGACATTAGCCGGACATGGAAACTTTGCAATCGAGCCAAATGGCCCATGGGTTTAGCTGCCTGTTGTTGTTGTTGTTGTTGTTCAGTCGCACAGTCAAGTCCGACTCTTTGCCGACCCCATGGACCAGATCACACCAGGCCTTCCGGTCTTCCGCTGTCCTCTGAAGTTGGCTCAACTTCATGTTCGTTGCATCTATGACACTGTCTAACCATCTCATCCTCTGCCGTCCCCGTCTTCTTTGACCTTCAATCTTTCCCAGCATCAGGGTCTTCTCCAGGGAGTGCTCCCTTCTCATTTGGTGGCCAAAGTCTTTGAGCTTCAGTTTCATTATCTGGCCTTCCAGGGAACAGTCAGGGTTGATTTCTTTTAGGATTGACTGATTTGATCTTCTTGCAGTCCAGGGGACTCTCACCTGTTCACAATGTCTTCCTGCTTCTCTTTGGCTTCTTCATACTTCTCTGCCAAGCGCTCAGCCATTTCCCGCAAACTCTTCCTTTTAGGGGAAAAGAGGAAGTGTATTCAATAATCTTGGAACTACCAGTTTATGTGATCTGGAAGGGTCGGGGGGAAGACTTTAGAGAGCAAGTTGTACCATAACCCCGGTGTGCGATTCACACGTACCCTTGTGACAAAAGCCCAACTGGAACTCTATCCCACCTGCGGCGGCGGGGGCGGCGGCACACTTTGAAACATAGGAAGGTGCCTTACAGCAGCTCTGACCCTCTAGGCCATCATGTTCTATACTGACCAGCGGCCCCTTCAGAGGGAGTGTCCCAGACATCTTACCCAAGACCCTTTAACTGGAGAGGCCAGGGACTGGACCTGGGGCTGTCGGCATGCAAAGTGGTTCATCTGTCATGCGGCTTCAAACCCACCCCACCCCCTGGGGCCACGGCACTACTCCTGCAGCCCAAACTCATTCTGTGGTGGTTCTGCCTCCTGGTACCCGGCTCACCTTTCTTCTCGGCAGTAGCCAAGGTCTTCCAGCTGCTTCTTTTTCTGCTCGCGCAACAATTTGACTCTGAGGGGAAAAAGAAAGGCCAGGCGGCTGGTTAGGCTGAAGGCAGCACAAGGGGTGCCTACGGCATCCTCCCTCCTCCCCCGCTACCGAGTGCTGCCATGACTAACGGAACCTCGAGGAGAACAAGGCTAGAACAAGGCTCCAGTCCACAGGGAGGAGGGCTTCCACAAAACCGTCCCCTAATCATTCACCAACGAACAGAACTTGCACTGGGAAAAGGACTGCGGCTGGAACCCTGGGCCAGCCAGGAAGGCTGCATCCGTTCATATGCCCTGCCTTGGATTGAATCCTCAAAATGCAAAACAATCAGCCCCTTCACCGCACAGATTATTCTTGAAGCCGGATATTTTTGCTGAAGATCCTCAGCTCTTTGTGTTTTTTAGGTAAAGCCAGCAGATTACAGATCCAAAAGTTACCGTCTCAGTGGTGAACAGACCAAAAATAGCAGACTTGACTGCATTTACGAGCAAAGAGCTAGTTTCTGTTTGTTGTTTTTTTTACCTTCGTTGGATCTCCTCTAAGGTCAGATCTTGTTTCAGAATATATTCTGTCCTAAACACTTGTGTGGCTCTGCTAACAAGCTGGAGGCATTCTTCGGGGGGCGGGGAGGATTCCTTATCTGCAGCCCTTGAAGACAAATACAGGAAGATCTTAGGACACATGCATGCTCCAATAAGGGCTAATTCACAAGCTACATGATGCTTTTTTCCACCTATCAGGATTCAAGGATGGTTGTGGATATACAAACAGCAACTGATGCATGCTGGTGACCACTCAAACCACTGAGCTGCCATTCATGACATGACCATTTTGCAATAAATGTGTTTAATTATGTTGCCCAATCTGGTGTTCTCCCCGCCCCCCAAAAATTATGCAAGCAATGGATCAGCAAAAGTAGGCCTCAGTGAAGATGCAACAGTGGGGAAAAACCAGTCAAAAGTTAGCTCCTTCCTTGCTTCTACCAGATGGCAAGGGGGTTGGGAGAGGGGTGGGGCTCCGTTGGGAGAGCCTCTGCTTTTGGCAAGTGCCAACTTCAGTTCCTGGCAACCCCCGTTAAAGGATCTCAGCTGCCGGGAAAGACCTTTCTCTGCCTGAAATCCTGGAAAGTCAACACCAGACCAAAGCAAACACTGGACTAGATGAATAATAGTGTGAAAGTATACAAGCACTCCATGGGATGGGCAGCTCTCTAGATATGCATGCAACTCCCAGGGCCTAAGTTATGAAAAATGCTCAGGGAAAGGGGCTGTCTTGGCCATTTGGTGGCCTATATATGACAGAGAGGGACCAGAAAGGAGTGCGCCCCGTCCCTTTTACATTAATTCCTCTCAGAGAGAAGTTATGTACTTCAAAAACAGTGGATTGGCAGAGCTCCGAGACAGGATCGTTTGGATGTGTTTCTCA